ATTTTTCTTCTTTGTCATTGTTATCCTACTGGCCATTATTCAAGGTACCATCACTTACCTTAGTATAGACTGTTAGAATTTAGTTTACTTAAGTTCTGCAATGTATTTAAACCATATTTGTGTTTGAGGTAAATTTAGCAGTATTGCTATAAAGACTTACTTCTGAGCTGATACAATCATCAATTCTGAAAGTAATAATTTTATACACAATTCATAAATAATGCATTGTCCCAAGTACTACACAAAGACAAAGCACAAGAAACATAACTTACCTGGGTTACAGTGTTTATGAACTTTGACAACTATCCAGCTATGACGCAGCTTGTGCAGGACCACTGTTCTTCCTATAATAACCATTTAAACTTGGAGAGCCTTGCTGTAGACACTCTTCACACCTTTAGTTTGGAACCACCACAGCTGGCTGGGGAATGGAGACTTTCCCCTTGGAAAGGGGAAATGACATGGAGAAAGTCACCATGGCCACATACCCATTTCCTCCTTTCTTTAGAGGATGATTTGCAGTTTTAATTGGTTTGCAGTTGTGGTTTACAGAGAATGAGACCTCTCTTCAATGACTGTCAGTATTCAACGCTCATGGTATAAACTGACCTAAGGCTGTTAGGAAAAAACAGCGTTTTATAGCAATGTGGTGGCAAAGAACAAATGTAATACATCTATACTGAGAAAAAGTTATGAATGTCACAGTCCCCCAGATGATCCAACTTTATTCTTAATATGTTGGAAGTGGAGGAATAATGCTTCAAATATGAAGCAGCATCCCACACTGGCTGGGGGGCCTGTGGGAGCAGAGTCATCGTTGTTGTTGAACAAAAGTTGGGATACAAGGGTTCCATGAGAAGGAGAATGAAAATTAAATTCTTTCATGGGAACAAAAGATATGAGATTATGGAAGCTTAAATTGACCAAAATATAAGTACAGAAAAGCCTGTCCACTCTCAAGATTGTACTTCCATGTAAGAGAAATTGTTACTGCTAGGAGTGCAGTGTAAACAAATGTTAGATGTGTGGAAATCGATAGATTGTAACTTGAATTGTTCAACCTAGACATAAGTACGCTGAACTCTAAAGACAGCAGAGGATGTCTGACAGACATAGCAATATTCATGTCTGAATGACAAGCAAAGTACTGAAGTGTTGCTACTTTTCCATTTGAAATAGGTCTGATTATTGATGCTTTTGGTGAATTAAGAGACCAGCAAGAACAAGTGAGAGAAGATATGGAGGTATGAGTAAGCACACTACATTTTTCATTACTCTTGTTCATCTAGATTGTTACCAGTTAAAGTAGTATCTTTGAGTAGTGTCTAAAATTCATTTGTAACCACAACTTGTGTTTCCAGACCAAGTGTTTTATTTGTGGAATCGGCAATGACTATTTTGACACAACCCCACATGGCTTTGAAACACATACTTTGCAAGAACACAACTTGGCAAACTATCTGTAAGTATATTTTACTACTGGAATTACGATGAAGAACCTTTCAGCTCCAGAGTAATTTAGGTGCACGCATTGCTGACAATCCTAAGACAGAATTCTGTAGAACTGAGGAATATCTCCATTCCTTTCTGGTCTCCCCTCCTCTACTCCACACTGCTGGTTATCTTTAAAGTGCTTACCTTACACATGAGCTACCTGAGTGGAATGAGACCTGAAGGCACACCAACTCCTTATTCCTCTGGAAGGAAACCCAGATATGTGGAATGATAGGGAACAACAGTTGAATAAGTTGCTTTAGTTTGGAAGTTTTGATTGTGACTTCTGCGGGTTTGGTAATGTTGATGAGACCACTGAAAATTAGCCTCAATCTGACAAAAAGAAAACACAAACACAAACATCAAAACAAACAAATGAACAAAAAAAGGGCATTTCTAGAAGATTCCTGAAAGATAAGCTACAAAAAGTAATGTACGAGTCTGATCCTATAGTTCTTTAGTGATAGTGCAGCTTTCCGAAACCTCGAAGCAATCAGGAGTTGTATGTGTTTAGACTATTGCCCAGACTCCCAAGACAGTGATCTTTACTTTCATTAGTAAATACAGAGCAGATCAAAGAGGATATTTAAGAAGTTAATTTGGTGGCATTAGTTACTCATACAACAATGATAATTATATGAACATTGTGCCAGCAGAACCAAAGGAGATGAACTGGTGGTATCTTATAGAAGTCTGGCTTTGGAATACTGCATCTGAACTTTTTAAATTTAAAAAAAAGAAAAAAAAAAAGGTGCGCCTCCGGGAGTGGAGGCTGCATTATTCCTTGCAGAACAACTGACACTGCAAAATCAACGCACGTGACTTTTGTGAGGCAAATTCCCATTAACATCCATACTTTTACCAGTCTACAACCTCCAAGCTTTTCTTACTATATTGAATTGCTTAATTGGTATATGGGAACCTGTAATTCACAGTAAATTAAAAATGGCCATTTCCTTAATATGAGAATATATAGTGAACAATCTTTCTAACCAGGTTGCCCTGTAATTAGACGAATGTTAAAGTCAGTATACATTCCTTTCTTTACAATGAAAGCACATACCAGGTTTAATTCCAAATGCACGGCATCAAAAGTAGCTAACCAAGAGTTGTGTTTCATATAAACAGACCATTGTTAGTACAATGTTAGAACAGCCTTCCTAATTCGTTCAAGCTCTTTACGTTTCAGTGAGCACAGGTATCTGAGACAGATAGGCTCAGCTTATGAGCTGTATGGCATGAGTGTTTGGAAATCTTGGTGCAGCTGAGTATTTGCCACACTTCTAACTTCTTGCACAGTAGCCATAGTAACTTCTTCCAAGGTGAGATGTTGGAGCATATGCGTATAGGAGTTGGCATATGCCTAATTCAGGTATTGCTCCTAGCATTGAAATGAAGAAAATGCTAAAACACGTCTTTCCACAGATTTTTTTTACAGATTTTACATCTGTTAGCACTTCCACAGGAGAAGCGCTGGAGGATAGAAATTTCTCCTTTGACATAAGCACTTTAGATGCCTAGCAATATCATTACTTTGCTGGTTGGCATAATCTCCCTCACATACCCCAGTCTAGGAAAGGTTACGCAGAGATGTTATGTTTTCCGCACTAATACCTGCTTCATGTGCTTGTTTCAGGTTCTTTTTAATGTATCTCATTAACAAGGATGAAACTGAACATACTGGCCAGGTGAGTAGAAAATGAAACAATTTTTTTTTTTTAAGATTCTCTTTTTTATCTTCTCCAGCCTTGTAGCTATGTACCACCAGGTGGAACTGATGTACCACCAAGGAGTGGAGATGATGCCACCCTCCCCGAGAGTCTTCTACAAGTGAAAGAAAAGGAAGGGTTAAAAAAAAAGGGAGGGGGTGGGCTGCAGCAGCGTGCTATTCTACCCAGCACTGAACTGTCAGAAGTCAGTTACTAGTAATCTTAGTGTCATCTTATCTCTCAAATGAAACCCTGAAATATACCAGCTGTAGTTTATTCCCAAAAGATTAAATAGTTAAGCTACTATGTTTATAGTCTAAATCCATATATATGTATATATAGATAGGTATATGGATGTGTGTATGTACGTTTAGCATTGTTAGGCCCTAAAAGTAAAAAAATAAATAGGATTTAATGATCTCTTATCTCAAAATAAGAAGCTGTTATGCAAACACTACAAAAGTACCTTACACTTCAATGTTTTCCAAGCAAACTAAAACACATTTTATATATACAGATTGTGTACAGGTTTACTCCGATATAACTAGACTGATTAATTTACACTTACACAGTTTTTCTAATAGGGCTTAAATTTCAGTAATACTGAATCAAGAAAAGTATAGAATAATACTTTTATAAATGTTCTTGAGTCATGATCTTTGAGTTTCAATGTCTTCATGGTTCTACTCCATGGTAATAAGCACAGTACCTGGTTATTGTTAAAAGTTTATCCAGAGTGCTAACTGCAAGGTGTCTGTTAAAATAAATACTCTTTATCATTTTCACAAGTCGTTTGTGTGGAAGATGTACCAAGAAAGATGTTGGGATTTTTTCCCAGCAGGGGACTGCTTCCGGAAACAGTATGAGGATCAACTTGGCTGATATCACAAAATAAATTATTTATTCATGAACTGTTAAGATCCAGTATACAAAAAACCTTTTCTTTTCATGGTGTAATTTCATAGCTTGTATTTGCTTTAAATGTCTTTAAACTTCAAGACATACATAAAATTTGACACTATTTCATAGGCTTTTTGTACCTACCACATATGAAACAGGTCTTTTGTTGGAATTTTAATTAGAAAAGAGAAAACTATGCCAGATAAACTTAAGCCTTCCAGTTCAAACATGGTCTGAAATGATAACTTTTTAACCACATCATTAACCTAGCGTTTGGCAGTACAGTTGAAAGGGCTAAAAGGTGTCTTAATTGCACAACATTTGACATTTAAGAACTTGAACATCAGAGGCCATGCCTCAGAAAAAATATTTTAACTAACTGCTGTCCAGTTTTTCCGCCCAGTATTTGCTAGTGAATGTATTAAGATACAGCTTGAAAAGCTTTAAGCAGTTAAAAAGAAAACATTTTCAAACACTTCGTCGACCTTGAAACATTAAGTGCCTTAAAACCTCTGTAGACATAGCTATGCAAACTTTTTATTTATGTTAGTGTTCTAGATGAACAGATCCATTAACTGTATTGCTTTTCCGTCTTTCTGTATGAAATTGCACTTGAAGTTTGTTTATATACTACCTTCAATAACAGCTTATTAGATGCTGCTGTTAAAAGACAAACACGGTATCAAAATGAATACAATTTAAATCTTAGGCCAAAATAAAACAACGCTCTATGGTCACCTGCAAGTAGAAGCTGCTAGGATTATGAGGTTTTTTTCTTCTAATAAAAAGTGCCCACTGCAATAAAGTATTATAAACCAAATTACCTTTGCTGTCTTCTTTCTCATTTTTCTACAATATGGAGATGTGGCGTGAGGGTGGTGACTAAGAACACATGTATTCATTGTTCATTCATAGTTTTATTTTAAGGACTACACAGAGCAAGTACAAGCTGAAATAACTCTTCTCTTCGTGTGCTGTAGCCTGCATCTTTAGCAAAGGCAATGCTAATTTCATTACAAATTTTAGACCTTTCTAAGAATATTAGTCTTCGACAATTTTCAATCACATCTAAGTGAATTTTGGTTGCACAGAATTTTAGGTGCCAGCAAAGAAAACCGGGCATTTGGCATACTGCACAAAGTGAAACAGATAAAGGAAGTAACAAGGATATAAAGGAAGATTCAACTTTCTACTTAATGTTTACTATATTCAGTTATTCACATAAGAAAATTTGAGCTTCAGGAAATCATGCTGTCCAGCCAATCTTCAAGCTCTTCCTCAGTAACATTTTTAGATGTACTTTGCTGTTGCGGTGATGCTGTACTCTTCTCTTCAGGCATATCTAGTTTTAAAGGGTCTAGAAAAGTGAAAAGAACAGACTTGAAAATCTGGAAACAATTCCATACAAGCTCCTTGTCCCAGATCATTGTTTTTTTTAATACAAAACTGACTCAATTTAAACACAATCTCTCTTTCTTGAAGAATAGCGAGTCATATTCCAAAAATAGTAGCAACAATAAAAAAAAAAAGGCAGCTTAATAGGCTCAACCAGAGCAATGCGGCTTCCATCTGATTCAAAGGGGGCAAGGCCTGGTTTGCAGCAGACAGAATGTAAGTGATCCCCCTACTGCGATCTGTTCGCAATCCTGTCCGATGCAGAGTTTACTTTAATGTAGGAGAGGAGCAGGAGGCCCCAACAGCAGATGGCCCTGCATGATTATTACAGCAGGATATGATTCCATACTCTGATGGCATTGTTTTCTTAAGGGATTTACACTTTGCTTTGGAGTGGAAAGCATGACATACCACTGCAATGAAAGAGCATTTCAAGATTGTCTTCAGTAACAAGGCTTGCTGTATTGCTTGTGGTGACATCTTACATGTTCAACCATCTTGAACTTAATTTTTAAGATAGCGAGAAAATCATACACAAAAAATCAGAGATGCTAAAAATTCTTCTACAGCATTGTGGACTGGGGAGGAGAAGCAAACCATCTCATCAAAACTAACAAACAGTAGTATAACTTCTAGGAATGCAAACAAAAGGAACGGTTTGCCAATTTTCTTGAAATACGAAAATTTTTGTATATGTTTTGTTTCCATCCTAAACTTAATTTTGTAAAATCAATACTGGTAAAGTTTGAAAATATCATTTATAACAAACCACCAGAAATAGCTGTCAATTCTTCTGTATACTACTAGCACAGTGAACCACGGGCTGATAGCGCTACATAAAAACTTTATTTTATCTTCCTCTCGCTAAAATTCTCTAGCAGTCCATTAATTTTTTTCTTTAATTAATTTCTTTAATTTGAATCATAAGACCAATGCTGTTCTGCAGAAGAATTTCTCTTAATGCTTAAAATGAACTGACAATGGTGAAACTTTAGTTCAGTGGGGAGTTAAAATTGAAAAGGAACAAATGGGTCAGAACATAGCCCCAGATAAATGAAATGCAGTATGACAGAGATGATGACAGCAGTACTGTCGACTGCCTAATCAAGAGTTCAAAAACATCATCAAAACAGAGAGCAATGGAAATTAAATAAGGGCATGCTGGGGAGAAGAGAAATCTTACCGGTTTCCTTACAATCCATTTTCACATCTTTCTCAGTTGATATGTTGTAGGATAATGAAACTGACACAGGCCTGTTTTCTGTATCAAGGGGAGCATCTAGATTTAGGAGAAGATCTAGTTCTTCATCCAAATGGTCAGTCTCTTGCTTTGATTGTGGTTGGGCTCTCTGAAATGGTTCTGCTGCACTTGCCCTAGGACCATTTTTACTTCCAGGCTCTGATGGAGCAACAGAATCACCAATGGGATGGGAGACCAACACCGTTTCACTTTGAGCCAGAGTCTGTCGGAACAAAAGCTCTCTCTTGCCATCTTCAATAATTTTAGATTTCATCTGTGGGAGCTCTACAGGTGTTGATGCCTAAGAGTACAAGAAAGGACTTTAGTCTTTCTAATGATTAACTGTATTTTTACTATTTTTTGTCTAATTTGGATTGTAATTCATGCTTCCTACATTTGATCACTTAAGAAGGTACAATGAATTTCAGCAGAAATGAATTCAGAAGTAAACTAAAGTTATCGTGATGGTACTTTTACAGAAGCAACTATAAAATACAGTTTTACCCCTCATTACAGAATATGAGATTGTATGCTAAATCAGCAAGTTCCATTGTTTCACAAATACTTCCCGGAGAGTTACTTTTCTTTAATTCTTCTGTAATGAAACCCCACCAATACTGAATTTTGCAATGAGTGAAGTCAGAATTTGGCTAGAAACATTATCCCATGTTAGGCCTTCCCTCCAAAATTCCAGTCTTGAAAGCAAACCGTACTACAGGTCGCTGAAAATCATTTAGCAAAAGTTATAGTATATAGCTGTATGTTTTGAAAAATGAAACCAAATTACAAAACATTATCAAAGACTGAAACAAGAAATGGCAACTCATTATTTAACCATGGAACACAGATTCTGCTTTTATCAGGATGCCCTGGTGTTAATAACACTGCAGCATATCTGATGACCACACCACTGGTCAGAATGACAGGACAAAGATTAAGTGTCTTTATAACCCTGGTAAAAGTTAAAGACTGTGACTAGAACTCTTAAAAAGAAAATTGTATTTGAAAGTAACATTTGCAGATTCCCTTAGACATCACATCTGCAGACATATTTGAGCTCCCTAAAGAAAGAGCATAGTTCTGCAGTCACAGAAGCACTTCATGCAACTCCAAACAGAAGTAAAATTTCTTCTGTAAGGGTCATGTTTCTTTTTCCTTGCTTGAGCAGATGGATTTTTTTTTAAGAATTTTGGTTTTATATTTAAGTCTCATTGGTTCTTTTGCCCTTACATGAATATTTTCTTTTTCACAGCCTGAAGAAACATTTTTTCCTAATATTTGGTTGCTTTTTTTTTTCCCCCCACAAGAGCATAAATGCCATTTTCTTCACCTGTTCGATTGACAGTTCTACCTGTTCTAACACAGATGTAAGTTTGATTCGTGGAAAAAACATGTATGTTGATATTAGCTATGTAGCAGAGTAAATCACAATTAAAATAATTAACAGGAAAGAATGTGAAAGCACTTTCAAAATTCTGGCGCAGGCTTTTAACAGCTGCTAACAAGAGAAGCAAATACAAAAACAGTGCGATCATTCCATGTCAAACACTCCGATACCTGGCTTCAAATCTAATGTGCTGCACATCGAAGCATTTTGTTTAAAGCCAACAAAGCATAAAAAGTGCTGATAGAGGGGTATCCTGCATTACATGCCATTTGACATGCCAGTCTCAAGAAATGTATTTACTTATAAAATACATTCTACTTATGTCTGAAGACCAAGTTTAAAGTAATCATTCTTGCATAGATTGTTTCACTTCAAATATTTGCATTTTCTTGTGAAAATTCACAGCATTACCTGCAGAAGTTCAGCAGCTACATTCAACCTCAGATGTAGAGGCAATTCCTGAAGGGCCTGGACCAAGGACTGGCAGTCAACAGAAAGTGCAGATAACTGAAATATAATTCAACACACAGTACGCTTGTATTAAAAAAAAATATGAACTAATAATGACTTTAATCTATTACATTCCCCTGTTCCACACATTCAAGGAATGTGAGGAACAATCTAATGAAATACAGGAATTTGTAGTTCTAAATTACACATGTACAAAGCAGTTTGGCTAAATTACCATATAAACACCTACAATGCAAATAATCACTTAAAGGTTTAAAAACAAGGTATAAATGGAATGCTCCTTAGGCAATGCCTTGAAAATCCAAAGTAGGAAAATAGTTCTGCAAGTTGACAATGTCATAAGAAGCTTTTCCAACTCAAACATCTTTTAATCTGTGAAGCTTTCTATGCAGAGGGCATTGCCATTCTTTAATGAGTTGCTACTATTTTCTAAGCAATCAAACCATGTAGTTTGTGTGTAGCTCTACTGTTTTCAGTGCCTAAACAACGTGGCCCTTTTTATACTTCCCCGTCTTTTAAAATGTTGTTTCGATGCTTACAAAAGCAACAAACTATAGTTACATACACTTCTAAAATGACATTCAAGATATTCAAGAAAGATACTCTACTGCTGCCTCGCTGCTTAAAAGGTGGAACTGTCACTTATTAACGTGTTTCCTTTTCTCTTGACCCCTTTTTTTTTTTGGCTGTAAACTATTAAAAACAAATTTACACAAAACGGACCAGCAATATTTGATGTTGGTCAGTCTACCCGGACTTTGGTAGACTTAAACAGATTTCAAGCTCACAGTACAGCAGAACATTCTGAGCACGTTCACCATCGATGAAAATAATTTGATATCCATCACAAATTTTAAAATCTGACAACAAAATGCTAGTTCAGTCTATACTCTCATTTTCATGGAAGCAGAGAAGCTGCTTCTAAATCTAGCTTAGAGACAAAAATTTGTCCCTCTCAGTATGGTATAGACTAACACAGACATTTAGAAGTCCAAATACTCATAAATTAGGAGAGAGTGTTTTGTGCCATATCACAAGAGATTTGTCAAAGGAATTTACACTGCTCCCAAAAGCCAGTCAACAGGATGGCTTTTGACACCTGCACACACAGCAAGAATGAACAAAGACATAGTGTGTTCTGATAGCATGTTTACAAAATTAAAATAAATTAAAAAAAGAAACAATGCAGTTGGTTTAACAGGTTCTTGTATCCAAATTCTGCTTCTGGTATCCAGTAATGAGAGTAAAAGGACCAAACAAATATCTGATGGTTAGAATTTTTCTTCTTTACTAACAACTTTATTTTACAATGGATTAGTGATCACCATCAAAGATGATTCACTGGCACAAGAAACCTCAGAAAGTCTTCAACAAGCAATTCTTGTTGCCCAGCAATGAACTAGAACTTCAGAAAACCCAGTTCTTTTGAGAGATACTGAAGATCAAATATGGCTTCTGCACATTTGCAAAGGACAAGGAAATCGTATGAATTTGGTAACATAAAAAAATTGTAAAAAGTCACATATCATTGAATAACAATTAAGTGCTTTTGGGAAGAGCTAAGTACACTTGCAAAAAGATTAATGTGAATGAACATTGCAAATGAAGGTGAAAATGGAGACAGGGAAGAGGAGGAAAGGCTGAGGATGAAGGAAAAGGGGAATTTGGAGAAATAAAATAATGGAAGAAGGAATTCAGTATCCAAGTAGAGATTTCACTAAAAGTGGTGTTTGAATAAAAAACAAACAAAGGGATCAAAGCAGTATTTAATAAATTATAAACACTTCATGGCACATGTAGTTGTAACAAGTAGTTATCCTCTACTTATTTTCTGGAACAGAGGCATACTTTGTTGCTGGAATTGTGATTTTTTTACTGAAAAATCCAAATTACTATTAGCTGATTTTTAAATTGCAGACTGTGTTCTGAAACATTTTTATTGCATTTTATCAGCATACAACAAAGCAAATCCAGATAGACTTTTTGTAACAATGAATGATAATATTCTTAATAAACTGAAAATTTGTCATTGTTGATGTCATTGTTACATTTCTAGTCCATATTTGAAACCGATGCTTTGCCATTGCTTTCTACAAATAACAGGGTATGGGAAATATCTCGTCATTCTGCAACTATTTTTATGCCTTTTCTGCTTTATTTTGTTCCATCATAATCACTTCAGTTCAGTTTACAATTCTCTAATCTTGAACATAATGTATAGACAGACAAAGAACTAGAAACAGGTGAGCTAAGAGGCAAAGGCAAGGAATTTGGCAAAGTGGATCTAGGATGAAAATTAGACCTGGATCCAGCTTTCAGGGAAAAGAAAGATGGGCCAGAAACAAAAAGGAGGTAACAGGCTGAAGACCAGAGACAATGTGAAAAACTAGATAAAGCTATGAAACCATCTGGGCCAGGATTCTGGACTAAAATAAGAAATCAAAGGAAGTGTAATGGTGACTAGTGCAGTAAACTATTTCAAACTGACATAAGAACAGTGAAAGACAGGAAACAGTTTGAAACAACAAATTTGGATGGGGCAGGACGAATGACTACAGTTTGGTAGGGACAGAGGCAGAAGAACGTGCCCACCACAGCACACTTCACAATGAGTGAGAGCATAGGACCAGCTCCAGAACTGTGCAGTCTCATCACTGGCAGCCAGAAGAATATTTGTGAAATCCACTGGCAACGTGCAACTTCACTCTGCTCACAATGGCTTTAGCTATTCAGAAATTCCCTGGAAACATTCCAGGTCAGGTTGGAGGGGGGTCTGAGCACCCTGATCTCTTTTAAGATGTCCCTGCCCAGGGCAGGGGGGTGGACTAGATGACCTTTAAAGGTCCCTTCCAACCCAAACTATTCTATGATTCTATGAAATTAATGAATGTGTCCAAATCACCTAAATGCTATAATGACAAGCGTATGAGGAAATTATGAAGAAATTAATATTCTGGATACTGACATCCTGCACACTAGGAGTGGGAGGAACTGATAAGAAAAAAATACACAGTCATTGAAAGACTGTATCCCACTGAACAAACATATGATGGTTTAAACAAATGCTGCACTTGGTCTTATTTCCTCATTTTAATTTGACTTTGCAACTTTAATGTACCTTTAAATATCACTTCCCAGGGAATAATTATTGTCAATATTTTAAGAAATAAATAGCAAACTTTTAAAATTTGAATACATATGTATGTTTCAAGAAACACTCAAGCACAGTTTTGCTGCAATTCTAAGAAAAGCTTGGAAGCCAAAAGCATTTACCTTACAGTAATTTAGGTGACTTACGTGAGGAAGACAGCTGCAGAGATTAAGACACTTTCCAGCATCCTGATACAGAAAAGAGCAGACTCCTATTGCTTTGCCCCTTTTTCTTCCAGCATAAAGAATCCACACACAAATAATCTAAAACCTAGTTGGTCCCATAGTCATTTCACCATTTCACTCTGGTGAAATTTCAACCAGAGGATATGAACTGTTAATTTGAAAGAACTAAAACAAGCTTCACAGTCAAATATATGAATATACTCACATAGGCTTTGTTATAGTCATTTTACTAAACTATTTTCTCTTGAACACAGCTGAAAAAGGAAGGCCGATTTGATATGTCAGTAAAGCAAAGTGAGAGTCCTTTATTTTCTCTTTACTGGATAGATTTGCTTGTTCTTTTCTACCAACGTTACTTAAAAACCTAGCCCGCTGCTTTGATTAGTATTCAATAGAAATAAAAAAAGGACAAGACCCAAGAGCCTCCAGCATCAGATACAAATTAATAAAGATATACAGAATAAAGAGTGCTATTATTGTATTAAACAATTTGTTGCTGAAAGCACAACTTCCTAGGTACTCTGTGCCAGGCAATTATCCACACAAACTCATTTGAATGATAATTCTGTTACCTGCTTATGGCATATGCTTTCTCTATCCCATTCTTTCTCGTCAGCAAATCGGAACTGTGTAAAGGAATCTCCTACAAAAAACAAATAAAAAATATATTTAAAAAAAAAACCAAAAAACCAAGCAAGCTTTCTCCAAAGTTCCCAACCCTACAGAAGTAAATTCAAGCAATAAACGTCATGTTTTCAACAAATTTGCATTTAATTTTAATGCTGCTTGCATTCACAGTATTAAACTTCTTTAAGCCAAAGTTCTATAGAAAGATCTTTTAATCTCTTATTTGCAAAACAGTACTGAAAAAGGCGCAACAAATTCAAAACTGAATTAGGAGGTGCTAGGTGTCATGTCAACAAGCAAGATTTTAATTGAAAAGTCCGATTTGGACAACATACTAGGAACACGTAGAGTATTCACAGAGTGCATTTTTAACAAACAGCTTTGAATGTGCTGTAGATAGACCACCTCTTACCAACATGCAAATCTCTCTTAAAAAGGATTATAAATGTCCTTAAAATCAGTTTGTACAGGCCAAGTAAAGACTTCTTGTTGACTGGTAGCTAAATTCTCCAGACTTTCTCTTCCTTAAACTAGTCCTACTCCAGCAGGTCATCAAAAAAAGGCACTGAACCCCAAACTCCAATTCATATGCATAAGAGACTGAATTAAAAGAAACCTTAAATAGGGCTAATTAGGCTACATATGTAACCTTACTTACAGGATCTTCTAAGCTCCTACCACATTCCTCCAAGACAGTAGGAACTTCCTCTTACTATAGGGGGGCTTGGGTTATTATTTTGTTTTAGATGTGGTATTTCTATTGCAGTACCATGCTGGGTTGCGAAAGACAGTCCTATAAATTTATTCACTGAATAAACACACAAGAATTCCAGGAATGCAAAAAAATTAGTAAGGTCTGTGATAGAGGAAACATGAAAGATTAGTGTTGCAAGATGATGGCCAAAGGTCTAGAGTAACAGAAAGCGAAGATGTTGCTGATGCAGAGTATAGGACATATGCCTTCTTCGACCATGCAGTTTGAGAACAAATAGCTGTTTCAGGAGCTCTATTGAAAAAAAACCAAACAACTATTGCATTATTGCATGAAGGAGATTAAATTTGATCCCAAGAATTGCAGATCACCTATAAGTCACTAGGATTTAGTCCAGTAGTAAGTTCAGAAGCAACAGCTCATTCTTTCCCAACCTCTAATAGAGAATGAATGCGCTGGAGGAAGTTTTCAATGGCATTACCAACAACTGAGCATCTAACTTCCATTTGGCTCTCAATATCCTAACTGCCATTCATAACTTTGACAATTCCTGAATCATGCCCTTAATCCTGCATACAAAATAGAATCGTAGAATCATAGAATACTTTGGGTTGGAAAGGACCTTTAAAGGTCATCTAGTCCAACC